CTTTTTATTTATTGTGTGTGTGTGTGTGTGTGTGTGTGTGTGTGTGTGTTTACATGGGCCATGACATGTGTCGAGATCAGAAGACAACATGTGGGAACCAATACTCTCTTTCCACCATGTGGGTTCTGGAGGTCAAACTCAGTCATCAGGCTTGGTGCATGTGCTTTTATCCAATGAACCATCTCCCTGGCCTCATTGGTGTATTTTTTTCACATCTTCCTCTTCTCTGTTTTAGAAACAGCTTTTTTTTCATTAATTTATTATTGACAATTTAATATACATATAATACATTCTCACAGTACTCAGCACCCTACCTTTTATTGCTCCCATCCTTTCCCAGCTAACGTCCTTCCTCTTCCCAAGAAGACCCTCTCCCACTATAATGTCTTTTGTTTTTGTTTTTGTTTCTCTTTTGTGACACATTGAGTTCATCCAGAGCTGCCTGCATGCTTATGTGTGTAGCTACCCATTGAAGCATGAGAAATTTACCAGTGGCTATATCACCAAAGACCATGATGCCCTTTCCCCAGTATCCATCAGTTTCCAGTAGCTCTTGAGGAAGGATTGGACTCAATGATCCCCTTCACCATCCATGACTAACTATTGATGGGTCTAGTCTTGTTCAGGCCTGAGAAGGCAACCACAGCTGCTGTGAGTTCATGAGTGCAATGGCTATGCAGTACCTAGAAGACAGTATTTCACAGCTTTCCTCCTGGTGTCATAAAGTCTTTCTGCCTCCTCTTCTGTGATATTCTTTGAGCTTTGGAAGTGGTGATATGAACACCCAATTTAAGATTGAGGACTCTTGATCAGTCACTTATTCTTAACACCTTGACCAAACATGAGTCTCTTCATAAACCACCTTTCACTGTGTCCTAGTTTGTTCTTCATTGCTGTGACAAAATACTCTGACCACTACCAACTTGGGGAGGAAAGGGTTTATTTAGCTTACATATCCCAGGTCACAGTTCATCTGGGAGCCCAAGGTAGGAACTCAGGGCAGGAACCTGGAGGCAGGAGCTGGAACACAGGCCATGGAGGAACACTGCTTACTGGCTTGTTCCCCTGGCTCCTGCTCAGCCTGCTTTCTTATGCAACACAGGCCCACCTGCCCAGGGATGGCACCACCCACAGTGGGCTGGGCCCTCCCATATCACTCAACAATCAAGAAGGTGCCCATAGACATGGCCACAGGCCAGTCCAATGGAGGCAATTCCCCAATTGAGGCTCCCTCAACCCAGATGTGTCAGGTTGACACTAAAGCTATCCAGCACACACTGCAAAAAGCTTCTCTGACTAAGATTTGGGGAAGCAATAATCTATAGGTATAAAGATAAATATGCAAGAGACAGTTTTGACATGTCCATTTAAGAAAACAGAAGCAGCAGAGTCCTTTTGGTCTATGCCCAGGTGTGGTATAATTAGGTAGTATAGTAGTTCTACTTTTAGATTTTAGTAAATTCCATATTGATTTCCATGGTGCTATATCACTTTACACTCCAACCAATAATTGGTAAAGGTTCCCATTTCCCCACATCCATACCATCATATTTTGTCATTTTTAAAAAATAATAGACATTCTGATTAGGATAAGATAGAATATCAAAGCAGTTTTAATTGGCATTTCCCTGGTGACTAAAGACATTGAACACTATTTTAAGTATCTAGTAGCCATTTGTATTTATTTTTTATAACTCTCTGTTCAGTTTCATAGTTTATTTTTAATTCTTGTTGTTTGTTTTCTAGGTGTTTTTTTTAAGTTCTTTGTATATTCAGAACTCTGATGCTTTATCAGATTTATATTTCACAGGTATTTCCTTCATTTCCTCCGATTGATATCTTCCTTTGGTGTACAGATGCCGTTTAATTTCTTGAGGTCCCGCTGGTCCTTCTTTCATGATCAACTGGAGTATGGTTCAGAAAGTTCTCTCCTGTGCCTACATCTTGGTGTTTTCTCTACTCTTTCCTTTAGCAGTTTCAGGTCTTACACTAAAGTCTTTAATCTGCTTGTAGTTTATTTTTGTGCCGGGTAAGAGGTAAGGATCACTTTTCATTCTTCATTTTATTCTCTATAGTGCTTGAAGTCTTATCTAGAGCATGAAGACAAGAAAAATAAAGAAGAGGAATACAAATAAGAAGAAGTCAATGTAAGCCTGTTTGCAGATGATAGGCTACACAAGATACACAAGAGATCCTTAATACCCTACCAGCATACCCCTAAAGCTGATAAACACTTTCATCAAAGTGGCATTAGAAAATCTACATATCAAAATTAGTTGCCATCCTGTATAATACCAATAAGAAATATACCGAGAAAGAAATATGGGGAATTATCCCACTCAGTATAGCAACATAAAATAAAATAAAATAAAACACCTTGCAAAAAAATCTAACCAAGGAAATGAAAGACATCTACAATGAAAACATTAAAATATTGAAGACAGAAATTGAGGAAGAAAGTAGAAGATATAAAGACCTCTCATGTTCTTGGATAGGAAGAATTGATATTATCAAAATGGTTATCCTACCAAAAGCAATCCACAGATTAAATACAATTCCAATTACAATTCCAAGGGCATTTTTCACAGACATAGTAAAACAAATCTCAAAATTTACATGGGAGCACACACACACACACACACACACACACTCCTAAGCACAGTCAAAGCAGCCTTAATCAAAATTAATACTCTTGGAGGAATCGACACACCTGATTTCAACATATATTACAGAGTCTTATAAGAAAAACAGCGTAGTACTGGCTTGAAAACAGAAATGTAGGTTAATGTAATGGAACAGAAAAAAACGGCTTTCTTAAAATCCTTCCTTGGGGGGCTGGAGAGTGGCTCAATAGTTAAGAGCCCTGGCTACTCTTGTAGAGGACCGGGTTTGATTCCAGCACCCACATGACAGTTAACAACTGTTTGCAACTCCAGTTCCAGAGGATCTGATGCCCTCTTCTTACCTCTGTGAGCAATGCGTGACACGAGTGCACTTACATACATCTAGGCAATGCACTTATACACATAGAATAAAAATAATTGAAAAAAATAAAAATAAGTCCTTCCTGATAAAGAGACTTAGCAAGAATGCTCAGTGGAAATAGACATAACATTTTCAGTAACTTGGAATGAAAAACAATGGAGGTTGGTGAGAGAGTGGTACCTATTTAAATTAAATTACATAATTACATTTATAGACTGTGGTCAAATGAAGTCTTGTATACACAAAATGTTTGATTAGATGAAATGGATGGCAGGCATGATCCAATTAGAAGGCATGGGGTATTCAGCACCCTGGAGAACTACCTATAGTCCGCAGCACTTTCACAGATAAGTTGCAGAATTTCAGTCACAGTCACATCTTTTTTATTGTCATGATTAGCAAGTAAAGATAAACATTATTTTCCTTCAGCTCCAAGATAATTACTTTTATTTTTTCCCCATAGAAACATAGTGAAGTTATCATATTAGAAAAAAAAATCCCCCCTTTTCCCCTCAAAAGTGCGATATTCTATAGTCCAAACAATATTTAGTTTCATAGTTGAAGGCTCACTTCAGAGGTTCTAGGTTCCTAAAAAGGATTTGAAAGCAACTTTCTCAAGATTCTTTCATCAGACAGCCCAGTCCAATCAAACAATAACAACAACAAAAAGTAGTGTTTTTCATTAAAATTCCTTCTTTAACCAACTTTCCAATAAGAGAAAAGGATGCACCCAAGAGGTGAGAGGTACCAGCTACAAGAACATGGTGGTGTGTGGCTGGCTCACCCATGTTAGTGGGCCAGGTGGAGGGCTGATCTTGGATGATTACATGACCTGCCGGTAGGCGTGCCCCACCCTCGCTCCCCAGGGCGTGGTCTCAGAGCTATCCCTCTGATCCCTGGGCTAATTCCTGGTTATCTCTGCTGTGCTCCTTCCTTATTATCTCACCTGCTTCTGTCAGATCAGTGTGAGGCATTGGGTCAGGACAGGGTGGCACTGGGTGGGTTGGGCCACCGGGTCCCTTGGAGGGAAAGGTGGTGGGTGGCGTTTGGGACAGGGAGATGGGCTAGGGTGCAGACAGAGATGCAGGGGGGAAACGGTGACTAAGGAGGGGCTTGCAGTCACTGGACCGAAGGTAGAGAAGGCAGACACCCCAAGTACCCCCTCCTGCCTTCTACTTACCCCCCAAGTACCACCGCCTGCCTTCTAGGCCCCTCCTCTGCCCTCCTTCAGAGTCCTAATCCCTGATGCCGGCTGGGAGGAGCTCTGGAGGAGACAGCCTGAAAAGAAATCCTTCTTCCCTTCCTGGCATCCAGAAAGGTGCTCACTTCAAAGGTGGGATCACGAGTTGCAGGCAGGACAGGTATATAGGCAGATCCAAATTTAGTTTGGAGAGCATCCCTATTCGGTGCCCAAATCTTAAAAAGAAATGGCGGCTGGGGAACCCGGAGGATTGGTGGAAGAAAATGTTGGGGGCAAGTCAAGATTCAGGGCAGGTTCCCAGTCTCTGCCTTCCACTGAGTCCTGACTCACTGATGCCCCGTGTCCTGCCTGCAGTCTGCACCTCTGCTGTTCCCAGCATGTTGTGACACCTGAAAAAGAGAAGAGACCCTCCCAGAATGCCTGCAGGTCAGTAGATGTCTGCTACATGGACAGGAACACAGACAGATTTGGGCGCCCCTCCTCACATCCCCCACCCTTTAAAGAAAGTCTGCCACACTGAAGGAGGACAGAGAAGGTGGCACGGCCTGCCAGGGCATAGATGTCTCACCTGTGTGGCAGGAGTGGAGGCAGAAGGCACACGTGGAGGGCAGGCTAGCTGAGAGGGCCCCTCATATCGTCAGGTGCCAAAACTAAATGAGCATGTGTCCAGGCCTGCTTCTAGGACTCCAAGGACTTCTCACTGCCTCCTCTTTCCCAACCCCCACCTTTACCCTCAGCACAGGAAAAGAGAAATCTGGACATGGAAGAACTCTTCAGTGACAAGGGAGGAACACCTTCAAACCAAGGACAGATGAAAAATGAGCGACATCCTCAGGAGAAGGGACAGACAGAAGTAGCTGGTACTCGGGAAGACAAGGCCATCTCAGAAAACCAGGGAAAGGCAGATGAGGAAATGCCAAGGGGTCAGGAAACGCCAGAGCTTGAGAGAAATGCAGGGCAGGGGGGAAAGCCAGCGAGAGAGGGGAAGCCAGAAAGTGAAAGAGGAGCTGGGCACGAAAGCGCCCAGCTGAGGACCATGCACCCAGGAAAACCAAAAGAAAGACCAAGAAAGGGCTGGCCCATTGCCTCCAGGAGTATAAAGAGGCCATCCATGATATGAGCTTCAACAATGAGGACATGATTAGAGAATGTGACAACATGGCCAAGGTAAAGGATGAGGAGAGAAAGGACAAGCTGAAGATGGGGCGAATTTTTTGGATGCAAAGAAGTTTACAGCACCCCGTCTACCCAAGGGGCCCCAGGGAATTCAGGGGTGGCTGCAGGCCTCCAGGCAGGGACATTGAAGACATCCCGTATGTCTAACACCCCTGTGGCATTTTCTGGGCAGAGTCCCTAAGGTTATGCTGCTGCTTTGATTTAGGCATTCCTCCTGTTACCTGCAGCACCTCTGACCGTGCTGCAATGTTCCAAGTTTCACTAGCAGATTTATATTCATTGCATGGAAAAATATTCTCAGTGCACTGTACAATTTCAGAACAATACAACCTACAGAACCACATAGCTGGCATCAGCTTGTTTTTATAAAATTGCAAAAGATAGTATTCTGTATTGAGAAAACAAATCTGAATATTTTATCTAAAAGACTGACATTGGTCATCTGTGGGTGATTTTTTTTTTTTGTTACTGTTTTCCTAACTTTTGTCTCCTAAATGTTTGCTTTTAGCTGGGCATGGCGGTGTATGTCTTTAAATCCCAGCACTCGAGAGGCAGAGGCAGTTGGATCTCTGTGAGTTCAAGGTCAGCCTGATCTCCATAGTGAGTTCCAGGCTACCCTCAAAAAGACAAAAAAAAGAAAGTAAGAGAGAAAGAAAGAAAGAAAGAAGGAGAAAGAAAGAAAGAAAGAAAGAAAGAAAGAAAGAAAGAAAGAAAGAAAGAAAGAAAGAAAAGCTTGTTTCTGCCAGAAATAAAATATGGAAAGCAGGAAATAGTATTTAAGCAATAAAATGATCTGTCTAATGAGTTTATAAAGGTAGTAGAGACACTGAAATTCTTTGTTTTTTAAGATGTAAAGTGAGACTTAAATTTGTATTTTTTTCTGGAACTCCATTCTGAGAGAATTAACCTAAAAGTTACTCCAGGTCTACCACTGTAAGGCAGAGCCTTTCCTCCAAAGGTTGTGGAGAAGATTAAATTAGGCATTGAGCTAGCTCTTACCCTCTTTCCTGCACCAGCAGCACCAGTACCTGGCCAGATGCTTGGAGAAAGGCTGAGGGAAGTCTCGCTTTTGCCCAGCAATAACAGAGAGAAGTCCAGATAACTGAGAGTATGTGCCATTCTCTCCTGGATAATGCTTATGTCTCCCTTGTGCTATGCCCCTTGTCATGGATCCTTCCTTCTCCCAGGACACTGCTGCTGATGGTGACCTGGAGACTATGATGAAGTAAAGCAATATAGTGTCCCATCATATAGAGACTCCCAGTCTAACGCTAAGAGAATTACCTTACCCACATTTCTAGTACCCACTTATTTGGGTTGGATAATGCATGACATTCATAGGAGCACTCCTTCCTGTGCTTTCTGTTTTTTTTTTCTGCATAGCCACCCCATGAAACTTACATACTGGATGATGAAGCAGGAGAAAGCATCTGAGTGACCAGGTGCTGTGCTGTTCTCACTGCTTCTCTCAATTTAACTGCTGACATTGTTTTTAAAGAAATTGTTTTCCAGAAAATTCATGTCAAGCCTTGTTTACTATTTCAACAGACTCAACCCCCTGTGAGATTTTCTTCTTGTGCAACAGTAGCATTTTTTTTTGTTGCAGATGTTGTGAAGTAGACCTTTGTTTGGGGACAGTTCATCTTCAGAATTATTACAAAGATGATACAGACCTTCCATGTACTTCATAGCATGTATCCACTAGTATTAATATCCTACATTATGATGGTACATTTGTCACAGTGAACCAGTACTAATGCACTATTACATACTAAAGTATGTGCTATATTCAGGTCTCCCCAAGTGACATTTCTCTATTACAGGATCCTATACAGATTAACACATTACATTTTGCTATCATGTCTCCATGGGCTCCACATCTTGGTTGTGAGCATTCCTGAAACTTCTCTTGGTTTTGATGACCTTTACAGTTTTGACAACTACTGGTTAGATACTTACTGTCTCATAAAATAGGTTTGCTTTATCTTTTTATTGTGGCTACATTCATTTGAACGTGATTTTTGAGGAAGAAGAACATATTGGTAAAATGCCATTCTTGTCACATCATATAAACACATATTATCAATAATACTTATCATTGAGTGGGGCATGGTTACTCAGTTCTTCAGTCCCAAGCAATCAGGAGGCAGAGACAAATGGATCTCTGTGAGACTGAGGCTAGTCTGGTCTGCACAGTGAGTTCCAGGCCAGCTGGGGCTATAGGGAGACCCTGTCTCAAAAAAAAAAACCTAATATTTATCACTAATGATGTTCCATTAACCTTGGTTACCAGGATGAGGTAGTTCTTGCCAAGTTTCTTGATGTTGGAGTTAACACTTTCTCCCTTTCCTAACTGTATAAAATAGTCATCCTTGGTTAGCTATAGTTCAAGAGTAGGGCATTATACTCTAACTCATAGATGCCAGAGCATCCACAAAAATTATTTGGAATTCTTCTGTAGAGGATATTTGTCTATTCTCTACTTATTCATATATTCAATACATTTATAGCATTATAGACTCATGAATATTTATCTATTTATTTATTTGACAGCACCTCCTTAGACGTAGACCCCCTGAAACTTACTGTGTAAACTAGGCTGGCCTCAAACCCACAGAGATCCACCTGAAGGCTGCCACCACACCTGGCATTATTTTTATACTATTAATTGAAATGCAACCTGAGTTTATGTAGTTTGTTACTCAAACCAATGCTTTGGCCATTGGGAGCTTTTTCAGTTGGCTTCTGTATTCACTCATCTGTATTATTGTATTGTGGGATTTTTAGTAATTTCTGATACTGTAAATGCCTTGGCAAGGTATGCTGTTGCTCACACCTATTCAGCTCACACCTCAGGAGTGGCTGAACATTGAGAATCTCAAATATGAGGCCAGACTAGGCTATCTAGAGAGTTTGAGACCAGCCTCAGCTATTTAGGAGATCTGGTTTCAAACAACTACTACAAAATGCCTAGCAACTTTTGCCAGAGAATAGCATTTAAAGGGCAACTACTAACCAGGCATGGTGGCAGAGGCCCTAGCACTGGGGAGGGGAGAGGTAAGCAGATCTCTGTGAGTCTGAGGCCTGCCCGTTTACATGAGTTCCAGGCCAGACAGGGATACATAGTGAGACCCTGTGTCCAAAAACATTAAAAAAAATAGATACAACAGTGCTAGGCATATTTATAAATATCGTTGCTCCTAGGACTCCTCAGTTAATAGAGAAAGCAGATATATGACTATATAATATCATGTATGTTTGTATATATCTTTATGTTTATAAATATTTCTATGTGCAACCAACTATGTCTGTATAAAGTTAAACACAGGTTTATATTGGTGTTTCCAGGTACAATTAATTGGTGCATAGATATTTTAGTCCCCTTTGCTGTCAAATATGAGAAACTTGCTTCCCATTGTTCAACATCTATTTTCTTAATTCTTTAATTCCGTTATATATCTATAGTTGTTTTCCTTGTGGGAAACAATTTTATCCATTAGAGTGCCATATACAATTCTTTTTGCCTCGAATCTCACTCAACTCAATTCCAAAATTAACTCGTTCAGCATGTTATTCCTCCATCCCTTTCAGTGAGGTTATTTCATATATTTATAGTACATTAAGATTCCTTCATCATAGTCTGCCTTTGGAGAGTATTATTATAAATGACAGTTTAAATTTCAAATTCCAATTTTTTGTGGCTTGCATGCAGGAAAACAATTGACCGTTGTATATTAACCTATATCCTGGCTATTTGCCTGTTGTTGGGCCTAATGCTGTAACACAGAAGGCAGCACAAGAAAATGTCTCCCAGTTGGTTCAAAAATAAGCTAGCCACCTATTTATAAAGCTAGAGAGTTATTTGACTTCAGTATATACCTAGGAGTGCAATTATTGTGTGTATTGATCAGGGTTCTCTAAAGGAACAGAACTGATACACCATATAGACATAATCTAATATAATATTATACGAACATATTAAAAGGGAATTTACATGGTGGCTATGAACCATCCTTAGCTCCAGTTCCAGGGGAATCTGAAGTCCTCTTCTGACCTGTGCAGCATTGCGTGACACGGGTGCACTCACATACATCCAGGCCATACACTCATACACAAAAAATAAAAATAATAAATAAAATATTTTTAAAGGGAATTAGATCATACAGGATCCACGTAGTCCAGCAATGGCTGGCTCATACTGGAGAAGTCTAGAATCTGGTAGTTTCTCAGTTCACGAAGCTGGATGTCTTAGCAGTCCCAACTTGGTGCTGAAGGCCTGGAGGATCCCTGGAGAGTCTCTGGTCTTCACTCTATGGTGAAGCCCAAAGAGGTTAGTTCTAATATAGGCAAAAGGATGCCCCAGCAACAGTTAAATTCACCAGTGAGAATGAAGACAAGCAGGCAAAAAGCAAAAACTCACTTTTTCCATGTCCTTTTATATGTGTTTCTTCTAGAAGGTGCTACCCACACTTAGTGTGGGGCCTCTGACTTCAAATAATCTGATAATGAAAGTCCCTTGTGTTTTAGTTAATTCCAGATTCAGTCAAATTGACAACCAAGATTAGTCATCACACTGAGACAAATGATAATTCGATTTAACTGTCAGAGAACTGCCATACTATTATGATGACTGCAAACACTTGTGAAGAGCACAAGCTTAGTCTGTTACTTTCTTTTGATTAGACCATAGTCATCAATTTTTTGAATCAAAATAATTATTTATTTTGATATTTATTTTGATCTAACATATATATTCTAATTTCAATAAGTGTACCATATACTATCAAATTAATTTAACCTCATCATTTGGGAGGATTGACCTACTGCATAGTCAGAGATTTTGAGAAGCAGTACCAGACATTTGAAGTGCCCTCTCATCGTACCATGTTTAGGTGTACACCATACCCATATGAGGTTGCTGGTGATGCTAAAATTTTTCACAGGCTTAAGATAATGTTTGCCAGATTTTTCTGATGTAGAGGAACTATTTCCACATTCCTGCTATCTCCTTCACAAGTGAATCACTAAATCAGACCTGCCCTCAAGGTGAGGGTCAGAATTAAGGTTTACCATCATAGAGGGAAGGAATTTGAATTCATTTGATAAAGTGAGTTTGTTTCCTCTCACCCATTTCTTTGTTAACTCAG